GTATATATATATGTATATGTGTATATATATGTTTGTGTGTATGTGTATATGTGTGTATAAGTGATGTATTAACCAACTTACTTATATTATTAGTATTAGTATTTATTTTTATCTCTATTACTATTTTTGTAAACCCTTTTTTTATTTATATTTCGTTCTACCGCAGTTTTTTCTTACTATATTTTATCATAGTAATTAAGTTTTTACTGATTTTGTTATTGTTGCACGTCTTTACGGCTGTGCCTCTGTTATAAAAGAGAAGCAATAAAGTTACTTACTTACTTACAATAGCCTATCATGTATTCAGTGAACAGTGAATCAATGAAAGTGGGAGCATAACCTACAATGGTTAAATTTCCTATTCTGCCAACTGTTTGTTGGCATTAGAATAGCAAATTTAACAATGGAAAGGAGTCACTGCTCGCAGAGTACCATTGGTGCACTTACTCCTCTAATTTCTTTCTTTACAGTAGCTCCTGCAAATTGGAATTTGTTTTGCCAGACATAGTAGTGGCGCCAGGATTTTCCCAACAAGGGGTCCAAGGTCCCCAACAAAAAAAAAAGTGGACTCACCCACTGGTGCCACGCCTGATCAGACATTTGATAATCTCAATAAATGAAGTAAAACTAAATTTTGACACATACAATACAACTGGTATAGAAGAATCTTATAATTTATGATTAAGTGTTAAATGTACAAGAATAGGAATTCTTTTGAAGAAACTACAACCATGTGGGTATAAAAAAGAACATACATTTGTATTTTGACTATAAAGTCTTTGATTGTAGACTAACAATCTTTTCCCACTAATATAGGCTTAGCATACCCTGCAATTTGTTATTGTTATTTTAGTATTTCTGACGCCTATACCTTTAGGGTATACAAAGTGCTTTTGTTTTCCATGGTCGTTGGGGAGTGCTGCCCCAATTCGTTGGGGAGAAAAAAAATTATATGTATTTTCTCATCATATTAGTAGACTCTAAAATCGATTAAACAAGCCTTAGAAACCCCTGAATTGTTAAAAAAAAAAAATGTGTTTAAGATTCATTTTTAGATTTTTATTACAAAAAAAAATATAATAAATTTTATATCCAGTAAATTTTGCAATAAGTTACTGGTAAAGTGGATTAATAAAAGAAATTCTATGCGTGTTCTTTTTGCATAAATGTCATTTTCTTCATCAATACTGATATCAATGTCCCTATGATAACAGTATTAGGGATTGGCTCATCATGAGGCAAAAATCCCTGTTAGCAGAAATGGTCCATAGTGAGCTGTCTGGTAGTTGAGAGTGAGCTGTCAAATGGTCCAGAGGGAGCTGTTAGCAGCTCCATAAACTTAACTTTATTGGTTTTAAGAATGTCCATTGGGAGTTAACAAGAGAGTCCTGGCCAGCAACATAGGTTGTGTTTACGAACTTTCAACGAAACCGGATAAGTCAAAAATGACATAATGCCCAGAGGGTAGGTCATTAGATCGCTCGTTTACGAACCCCAAGTTATTCGGATACGGACAGTAAGGTATAGGCCTTAATGTATTAAAACAAAACAAACACTTCACCGCTTAGCCTTCCTCAGCCCAACAAGGCAATTCAACAACGAATTACCTCGCCTTGCCTACGCTTGTACTCCAACCAATTCTAAAAAACCCAGGCCTTAGAAACTAGAGCCTAGCCAACTGGGAAAATTACCAAAAAAAAAAAAAAAAATTACAAAAAAAAACAAAGGAAAAAAAATAGCCTACGGACTTACTACTACGTGTACTATTAGTTCCACTGGTGTTCAGAGCTGCCAACGACGTGTCAACAGTGTGTGGTGAACAAGAAATGGGTCTATCGCCAAAAATTTCGTTCATCATCGCAAAATACGGCCATTCTGTTGGGGTGTGGGGGTGGGGGGTTTCCTGACTTCCTTTTGGGGTCCTTTTCCTGGGTGTATTTTTTTGCGCAGGTTCTTGCATTTGGTATTCTATTTGTACGTGCGTAAAGTTATAACCCATTTCCCGCATCTTCTGTGCGATTTCTTTATAAACGGCGTTGTTCCATCGGGTTCCATCAAAACCATCTTGTATGGATGTCGTTCCCCATATGCTAATTAACGTTTGGGTTGCTTCGTCAGTCCACCCACTCTGTTCAGCTGTAGCCGTTGTATATAGGGGCATATCGTTGTAAAAATAAACTTAATATTTCGGCTTAAACATTGGATAATATAATTTATAAAGTGAGGACTACTCTAGCGATGTCACTGGACGAAGGCATGGATGAAAAGAAATTGCGGACTCAAGGCCTTAATCATTCTGAATAGATTTCTCATAAAAATAAGGTCAGTTGACACCATGCTGTGGGCTATTGCGCCCGAGGCAGCCTCCAACCCTCCAAACTTATCCGGAAAGGATAAGCCCGGAAAGTCCAGATGTTTTAGTAATTATAGCTAGTTGAGGAATGATTAATTATCACCTCAGGCTTGAGTTATTCAGTTTTCGAAAGTTCGTAAACGGGCCTATATAGCCATTGGAATGTAAACAAGAAACCCATTACAATCACTCACTTCATCTCATGGGCTTCAGTGGCAATAAATAATTTAAGAACCCTTAGCTATTCAACAAACCAGCAAGCCGGGTGCCATGGACCAGTTCTGTTAATGGCCAAAAATGCAGCATGTGGTACGTCTTTCACATAAGCAAAAACATAGTTTCATGAGCAAGAACTGGTTCGACTCCCACCAGATACACTTTTTTCATACAACTGAATTAAGAAACAAACAGCAGTAGGCCTAGGTTCCAGGGAAGCCTAGGTCGCTAGACTAGGTAAAAATTCCAGTTGGGACTGGAACCAGGTAAGTATTGTGTTTTTGGACAATTCAATTGGTCTTTAACTGGTTCCAATTCTAAATGGTTTTCAACATTGGTCTTAGTTCCCACTTGTCTTCTATTGATCCCAGTTCCAACAATTAGTCACCAAAGTAAGTGTTTTATTTACCTCTTTCTTTCTTTTCTTTCAAGACATTTATTAACTTCCATAGAACACAAAACAATGCAATACAATGATAAGGATTTTTTTTTTTTTTTTTAACTATGGAAGAAGGCATGATCCCGAGAAGACAAAGATCTTGTGATGGGCATGCCTGAAAAATAAAAAAATAAAAAAAGTCAATACAGACAAAAATAAAGGTAACGGTAAAGGTAGGAGAATAACCCATAACTTGCAGCGTCATTGTGCTGAATTGCGTATGGGCGTGGTCTGTGACCTAGCAGCCGTAAAGAGGCAATTCTTGGTAGATACATGTTCACATCATTCCACAACGACAGGGGCTGAAATGAACCATAACATCGGGGCAACCCCCTATTCATTTCCGAAAGATGCAATGGGTTCTTTAAAGTGCACACGAGCCAGATGTATACACTGGACCTCCATTTTAAGTCCTTATCCGAGAATACTTGGTTCTACCAACCGAACCATGGGCAAGGAGCGACTGGAACCAGCGCCGATGTTAAAGGCTGTAGCTAGCGGCGCCCCTGCCTTGCCGCTCGGCCACTCGACTCGCCATAAGAAGAGCAAAAAAACAAAACAAAAAAAACAAAATACAAAACCTATATCCATCTAATATTATATATAATATAGGCCTGTGGTAAGCAGGATATCACATTATGCATATTATGATCTTTGTGTATCACTTCAAGTTTGGAGATTAATTCTTTGCTTTTCTTTTGAACTGTCTTGATAAGTCTCTTTTGCTTAACTTCAATAGCTGATTCAAATTTTGACATATCATTAGTAATGGATTCAAGGTTTCTTTTCAGATTGATTGCAATGCCCTCAGCTATTCTGATAACTTCAGTAGCATTTTGGTTAAACTTATGTATAGCAGTCTTCATTTCAATCACATCATGTTTGTTTTGATAACACAGAAGAACTTGATTACATTCCTCACATGCTGATTTTTTGCAAGTTGAGCAGTAGAATTCCAGTACATTGTTGCAATGAGTTGGACATTTGTAATTTTCATCTGTACCAGTTCCTTCTTCATTCCGTTCCAATATGTATAATTGATGGTTTTTCAATGCTGGTATTATCTTGTGGTGTTTGGAACATTTCCCGCAAAAGTAGAGTAAACATTCTGAACAGTGGTAGGTTGGTGGATTGTTACAGCTGGAACATGTACTTGATTTTTTTTCAGATTCGATCTTTTTCACATAGTTAAGTAAATATTGTATTTTTTCATTGGAAGTGAGATTTTCCAAATCCTCTTTTTTGAGTTCATGATGCTGACTACATTTGAGACACCTGAATGTTCCATGCCGTCTTTCCACTAAACTTTCCAGACAGTGAAGACAGTAGCTATGGAGGCACTCGAGTGTCCTTGGCTCTGTGAATCTCTTTAAGCAGATGGCACATTCTAGATCCTTTTTATCCAAGAATTGTAATTCCTTGCCAGCAGACATCTGTAAAATAATAAATTAGTGTATTATACTCTTTTGTTTCTATTTATATATAATACACTTAATCTGCTATGATGGCAAGTATTTAGGCAGAGACTTACTCTTTTTGATTTTGTTACACAGTGAATTATTTGTAGAATTAGATTAATTTCAGAGGTCTTGTCTTGTGGCCTTATTTGAACTCATGTTCCTACATTTAGGTTTTTCTCTGGTAATTGCTATACCTAAATAAGGTCAATTTATAGCAGTTGCACAAATGTCTTCCTGTACAATCTTAAATTTGCTAGTGCCTACTGTAAAGCTTTCTGTACTATAATGAGATTCTGAGTTTTTAAAATACTGTTGCAAGTAGGCAGTGGCGTATCTAGCAGTATTAAAATGGGGGGCTGGGGAGGGGCGCGACCAAAATATGAGGGGGCGTGGAATTTATTTTCAGTGGCCACGCCACACTGAAAAATATTGCTTCTTAGATTTCCGAATACACGTTAACCGTGACAGAATAAGCATAAGCCTAGCCTA